TGGACCACTATACCTATTATTTTTTTATTTTTTGTAAAGACAGAGTCTCACTATGTTGCCCAGGCTGGCCTCAAACTCCTGTGCTCAAGTGATCCTTCTGCCTCAGCCTCCCAAAGTGCTGAAATTATAGGCGCAAGCCACCATGCCTAGCCCGTTTTACTGCTCTTACATCAGGATGTTTTCAGCTGCAGGCAACAGAGATCCTATGAATGGCTTTAAATAATAAAGCTATTTCATTATCTCATTTAATGAGCAGTCTGAACACACGTGGTGTCAGGGTTGGTTTGGCAACTCAAGCATGTCACAGGCTGCAGCTCTCCAATTTTTGGCTCTTCAGTCACAAGATGGCGGCTGCAGCTGCAGATACAATCTCACTTCAGTATCCCAAGCAGGAGAATAGGACAGCAGCGGGCTTTCCATACTTGATTCATTCATTGGTTGGAACTGGGTCGCACCTAGCTACAAATAAGGCTGGAAAGGCAAGAATTCGGCAAAAGAGAACAGAGAGCAGTGATTGGCTTATACCAGGGCTTCATCTCCTGGAGCTGGCCACGTTGCTGCCCAAAGCTAAATCAGGGCTCTGTTAGCAAGGAAGAAGTGGGCAATCCCTCTTAAGATCTACCTTCCCAGCAAAGAGAGCCAATGGGCCTGGCTTAGGTCGCCATATCAGAGTCACCATGTATAACTGAAAGGTAATTTTCCAAAAGTGGAAGGAGAATTCTGGGGCTAGAAGAAGAAAGCCAGAAGCTGAAAAGACACCTTTATCTCCTTCAGCCACTGACCGTTTCAGATATTGGGCTGTAACACGACCTAGCCAGCACAGGCTGTATCATTTGTGGGACCCAGTGCAAATAAAACGCAGGGACCATGGTTCAAAAATTATTAAGAATTTCAAGCACAGAGCCTTTCTGGACAGGGAGTCCTGTGTGACTGCACAGGTCACAAGCCTATGAAGCCAGCCCTGGGCCTAACCCAGAATCGGAGTGATTCCCCTAGGGAGAGTAAGCCTTGCTGGGGTGTTTTAGGGTCTGTTTTGTATAAAATGGGGTTAAATCATTAATTGATAGGTAGGGAAGCTGTGGTTTATATTGTTATAATTAACATGTGTCCAGCCCTTTGCACAAACACTGTGAGTCAAGAAAAGAGGCGATCAAAGCCCTCTGTGTATATAACCCTGGGCAGAGGCAGAGATCCTAGAAGACAGAGCTCTCCAGAGGTTTCCAGTCTACTCCAACTATCAGAGTACGGGGAATGGCGAGTTGATTTTATTCTTCATGTCCATTCAAACTTGTAAATTTCAGTGTATTGCTTAATCATCATAGTGGTGCTGTGTGGCTCAAAGTATTATCTCCATCTTATAGATGAGGTCATTGGGGCTCAATGATCCATGAGAAAGGTCCATGATCATCCATGGTACATGATCAAACTGGGACTGGAAGCCAGGCAGTCTAAATCCTTGTGTCCGTGCTCACTAGCACTGTGTGTCATTGAGCAAATCTAACAGGGCTGGGGAAATTGTAAGAAATTGTCTTGGTCAGACCAGTAGATGAGACAGATATAAAGGGGCTTTTGACTTGAAGGGCTTAGAGTCCTAGAGGCCATGAAGGATTTGTTTTTTCTTTTTCCTTTTTTTTCTTTTTTTGAGACCAAGTGTCACTCTGTTGCCCAGGTTGGAGGTTGGAGTGCAGTGGCACCATCTCAGCTCACTGCAACCTCCACCTCCCAAGTTCAAGCAATTCTCGTGAGCCACCATGCCTGGCCCTATTTTTTCTTTCAATAGAGATGGGTTCTCACTATGTTGCCCAGGCTGGTCTTGAACTCGTGGGCTCAAGCAATCCTCCCACCTCAGTTCAAGCCATCCTCCCACCTCAGCTTCCCAAAGTGGCCATAGAAGTTTGATGAGACTATCACTCCAGCAATAGGAATGCAGGATGGATTAGAGCCGAAAGGATGTCCCTAGAACATTTGCTACAGTGCCTGGGCCAGGAAATTCACTTAGTTTTTCTCACAAAGGTGTCTGTCATCCATGGCTGATTTCTGAAATGAATCCACAAGCCAGAAACATTTGTCTAAATACTTTAATTAAAATGCATTGTAATATGAAAGGCAGAGTGTAAATAAAGTGTTCATGTTTACTAAGAAAACAGATTAAAATATTCCAGGTAACTGAACACACTTTGATAATGAAACTCGAAACAGCTGCTTGGTTTTCATTGTATTTAAAATATTTATGTAGTTAAAAAAATAACTGACTATTCATTTTCTATTTAAATGCAGGAAATGTTGAGATGTTTTAAATGAGTAGAGATTGAACATACATAAATAAGCGTCCCGTTTCAGCTACAGAATTATAATGCTTCTGAGCTGTTTCATTCAGACCTCAGCAAACAACCAGTCCAATTCAATTTGGAGAAGAATGCCAGCCTCAAATTCAATTTACTTAATACCTAAGTTTTGTGCAAGTGCTGGGTTAAAGGAGCTATCTCAGTGAAATTAAAACACTGCTAATCTCATTTCAAAATCAATTTTCTTTCCAGGACAATTCTTGGGAACCTCAAGAATCTCTTGCTTTATAAAATAAGGAGTATACATTCAAGAACTGACATCTAAAAGAATAAATACATTGGTATAAAACGTATTTCTTATAAAATAGGATCTCACAGGGAAGGTGCTGTTGAAGCATTTTGCCATTTACTGAAAAGCAATGTGTTTATTAGCATATTTGAAATACTTGCTAATGGTGGAAGCATTCTCTCTACTTTGATCTTAGAATATGCGGTACAAGGGCCAGGCGCAGTGGCTCACGCCTGTAATCCCAGCACTTTGGGAGGCCAAGGTGTGCGGATCACGAGGTCAAGAGATCGAGACCAGCCTGGCCAACATGATGAAACCCTGTCTGTACTAAAAATATAAAAATTAGCTGGGTGTGGTGGTACAGGCCTGTAGTCCAGCTACTCAGGAGGCTGAGGCAGGAGAATCGCTTGAATCCGGGAGGTGGAGGTTGCAGTGAGCGGAGATCAAGCCACTGCATTCCAGCCTGGTGACAGAGCGAGACTTCATCTCAAAAAAAAAAAAAAAAAAAAGAATATGCGATACAAACATACAAATGTAAATGGAGATGAAGGAAAAATAACTGCCTAAACTCTCAGACTTCACCCATTTAAAAAATGTTTACCAGTGAAATTATGTCTGCACAAGCTTGTCTTATGGCAGCATGATTTTTAACAGCATAAGATTGGAAACAATGCAAATGCCCATCAATGGGAGAGGGTTTAAATGTTATTACACATTTATACAACAAACTAGGTTGCTGTCATGAAAAAATAAGCAGGCTCTTGAAGGACAGGGAACAATCTCCAAAGTAAATTAAGTGAAAAATAACAGTGGCTCTAATATGTGTTACCATATCTGTTAAAATTTAAAAGGAAGGGGAGCAGCATTTACACATTTCCTTGTATAAGTATAAAATGGCTCTGAAATGATACAGGAGAAACTGTTAACAGTGGTTGCTTCCAGAGAGGGAACCAAGGAAGTTGGGTACTGGGGTAGGATGAAGAAATTTTATTGGATGTCCTTTTGTACCCATGTAAATATGTTATTGTCTATTAAAATACATTTTAAAAGCTTTTTTTAAAAAAGGTAAAATAATAATGTTAATCACCATTATATTCAATGTGATGATTACCCAGATCACGTGACAAGCCATCACCGAGACAAATCTGTTACTCTGGGATTTGGAAATGCTAAGACCAGCCTGGGAACTCCCACATTGTTTAATTTTTCCACAGTGGAAATGAATGTTGTTTTTAGTGGATGGACAAATACATACAGACATTTGCAAACCTTCAAAGGCCTCTGAGCAGCTCACATTTTCCTGTAATTTTACATAAAATGGGCAGGACCTATTGGAATTTCAGGTCCTTTATGTTCAGTGTTGCAGGTGGAAACAAATGGCGTAATACTAGAATACGAGATTTTGTTTTCATTCACTCCCACAAGAGCCATTCGGTATGCAGATAAAATCCTCTTGATAAATATTCATTCCCTGAATGGCCCCCTTTTTTTTTTTTCTGAATCATAAAAGCAACATGACATGATCTGGAAAGCTTTGGGGAATGTAACTGCTGTCATTGGCTGGGATATTTCATTTTCTAGGATTAATTGAAGTTGCTGCCACCATCTCTACAGCGAGGGTGTCAGAAGTGAGTAACGGACTGATCCCTGCTGGCGAATGGGGTTTCTCAGAATGACAGGCAGAGGATGCTCCTACGGGGCTGTCCCTCCTGGCAGAGGGAGAAATGGTAGCAGCCCCTGGCTAGTAAGTTCATTTGCATTCTATCTGTTCTGAGATAATGGCATTGCACTGGAATTGAGCAGAGTCTGGGGAAGATAAGCACTAACTACCCTAATGGACAGCCAGCCCCCTACTGTGATTGCCTGCAAAGGAAAACAGCGTCCCAAGCTCAGGTCAGAACGGTGGCAATTCTCAGCTGAACAGCTCGGCTGCCCTCCTTTCTTTGTTTTTTGTTTGGTGTACGTTGTTGTTTTGTTTCTGCTGCTGTTTTGTAGAGATGAGGTCTCACCGTGTTGCCCAGGCTGATCTTGAACTCCTGGTCTCAATCAATCCTCTTGTCTCAGCTTCCCAAAGAGCTGGGATTGCAGATGTGAACCACTGTGCCTGGCTCTCTTTTTATTTTTTGAGACAGGGTCTCACTGTGGATAGCTCACTGCAGCCAGAAACTCCTGGGCTCAGGTCATCCTCCTGCCTCAACCTCCCCAGTAGCTGGGTGCACACCACCATGCCTGGCTATTTTGTTTTTTGTTTTTGTTTAAGATGGGATCTCGCTATGTCGCCCAGTCTGCTCTCCAACTCTTGGCCTCCAGTAATCCTCCTGCTTCGGCTTCCCAGAGCGCTGGGATTGCAGACATGAGCCACCATGCCCAGCCGTGAAGTGTTTTCTATCCTTGAAATATAGACGACAAATTCCTGAAGGGAAACCTCACACATTCAATAACTCTTTACTTTTCCAACAAAGCTTCCCATGTATTAATTGGAGTCCTATTTTATCCCCTACCCATGAATTTTAAAAGTGGAAAATCATTTTGTTCTTAAAAAGAGAAACCGTCAGAAGAAGGTAGGGCTCTCAAATGACAGTCAGCACTCAGGGACTCGAACACTTGATGCAATTTGTTGATCTCAGGCCCAGCCCCGCGAGGAGCTGAGTCCGGGCCGGCAGGCTGGCGGGGCGGTCACAGCGGTAGCCACTGAGGCCACGACTGCAGAAAAGTGTCTCTTCCTGGGCTGTGGGGGAAGCTGGGGTGCCGGGGAGCAGCGAGCACTGGGGGCGCAGCCAGGACCGTGCGCAGGCAGCCGCCTCTCCCCGCCTCACCCCGCCTTCTCCTTCTCCTCCTCGGGCACCTCCACCGACAGGATCTGCTCGCTGCCGGGCTCAGGCCCCGGGCTCATGCGGATCCTCACCGAGTGCTCCTCCGGCCTGGCCGCCCGCTCCTCCTCTCCCTCGGACCGCCCAGGGGAGGCAGGCGGTGGAGATCCCGGGGGCTCCGGGGGCGTCCGGGGCGCGGGCGGGTCGGGGGCGGCTGAGCCTTCCTCGCCCTTGGCGTCTTGCGAGCTCTTGGCCTGGAATCCACAAAGGGTGACTCGTGAGGCACAGACTCTCAGAGGGGCTTGGAAGGGTTTTGGACACCCCCCTGTTCCAGCCTTTTTGGACTCCCAAAGAGGGCAGTGGAACACACAGCGGGTGAAATCTAGTGGGTGGGTGGAGTCACGTGGGGGTTATTTAGGAGAAACACAATACATTACGGGGAAGTGTGCGGATTCAAAGTCCTGGCTGGATTTCGTAGGAAGTCTTGGGATGTCCTAATCTAGGCTGTGGGGCTGGAAGCTGAGATGAGGTGGTTGTTTCAAGTGCAGGGCCCCTCCCCCGAGCTACTGAAGCAAGCCAGGCAGTGACTCTGTACCCGCAAGGCCTCCGCGAAGGCTGAACCATCTGTTACCAGGGATGGGCGTTCCTGGAGTGGATGAGAATAACTCCAAGCAAACAGGGTAAAAAGTGACGAGGGGAGAGGCTGCTGGGGCCGGGCCCCCTTTCTGGAAGGTCTCAAAGGTTGAGATCCTCAGGGATAGCCTGGGGCTGGGTGCCCCTGGTATTGGGCTGAGCTGACCCCGTGTGTGGGGACTTGATGGGTACCTTTAGCCTCCAGCCTGTGCTGCCTCCCACAGACGATGGCTACGGTCTTAACATCAGTAGGGAACAGGGTAAATAAACCAAGCCTTTGTGGGTACCTGTGGCCCCTCCCACTCTGCCAGACCCCATCTCTGCACGGAAGGAAACTGGAAAGGAAGCAGTCCCCAGAGGAGGCCAGAATGGTCCTTGACTTCCCAAGACCCTTCTGAAGTGGTGCTTGTGTGGAGAGACTGCGCCATTTGCTCAAGTTGTAGGATGCTGAAGGAAAGGAATGGAGGGGGGAGCAAACATGCCCGGAGAACCCAAGGCCCCTCTTGGGACATGCTGCCCCTCTGTCTCACTGTTTCCATATGTTTTGGTGCCCCTGTCCCACCTCCCCTGTCCACCCTGAATTCTCTTTTTCTTTTTCCTGAGACGGAGTCTCGCTCTGCCACCCCGGCCAGAGCGCAGCGGTGCGATCTTGGCTCACTGCAACCTCCGTCTCCAGGTTCAAGCAATTCTGCCTCAGCCTCCCAAGTAGCTGGGACTACAGGCTCATGTCACCACATTTGGCTAATTTTTTGCATTTTTAGTAGAGATGGAGTTTTACCATCTTGACCAGGCTGGTCTTGAACTCCTGACCTCAAGTGATCCACCTACCTCAGCCTCCCAAAGCTCTAGGATTACAAGTGTCAGCCACCTGCCCCTGGCCCACCCTAAACTCTTGACAACACATTTCCAGAGCAGGATGCTCAGACAGTGGGCATTGTGGGACTTCCTGGGAAGTTAGACAGTGAGCATCATGGGAAATTAGAAAAGTGCTTTGCTGTGTTCAACATGGCTTTCTAAAAGGCCTCCAAGGTATCCTGCTTGATCTTTATGATCTCATGAGGCAAGCCTCAGTAATGCAAGTCTCAGAAAGCTTGAAGGGCTACCTGGGTCATGGAGCTAGTGGGTGACAGAGCTGGGATTCAGACCTGTGTATCTGAATGTCTAGTTAGGAGCTCCCTGCACTCTGCCATTCTGCCCTGGTTGTTCTGAATTGGAGGGGAAGTGCCTTTTAGTGGAACACTCATGCAAATTTAATTCCCATCTTAAAGCTGCCTTGCAGAAGAGTTACCACTTAGGAGCCACAAGCCCACCCCAGCTGAAGCTCTCAGTGTATTGAGGGCACCCTTGGAGCTCCTGTCTCCTCAGCCCTCACTAGCCAGCACTTGCCAGCTCCACCTTGACCTCGACAATGTGTGAGCCAGGCAATCACACCTTTCCTCAGTCTGGGGCCATTGGTGGCTGTACCTGGAGAATGTCTTGGCACCCTAAGTGGCTTTGACATCATTCACCAGACTTCTGTCGAACAACCTCTGGATGGATCTCCTGGTCTCTGACACCAGGCTGGATTGAGACTGAGTTCACTGGGCTCCTTTGAACTCTGTTGTGTAGACTGTTAACCCCAGTCTGTCCAACCCCAGTCCCTCCCCAGTTCCCGAGCAGCCTTCCTAAAGGACAGCGGTGAGCAGATATAATTAGTGTCATCATTCTACTTGGCAATCTTGGCTTTTGTCACAGAAAAATGTCCCAGAACTAATTTTAATGTCCCCATAGATTTATGGGGGTGGGGATACTTGGCACTGTGCCTGTTGAGAGGTTTTTACTTTCAAATTTTTACTTTTCATTTTTTGAGACAGGGTCTCACTTTGTCACCCAGGCTGAAGTGTAATAGTAAAATTGTAGCTCACTGCAGCCTTGACTTCCTGGGCTCAAGTGATGCTCCCCTCAGCTTCCTAAGTAGCTAGGACCACAGGCATGTGCCACTAAACCTGGCTAATGAAAAAAATATATATTTTTTTAGAGAGACAAGGTCTTGCTATGTTGCCCAGGCTGGTCTTGAACTCCTGGCCTGAAGAGATCCTCCTGCCTTGGGTTCCCAAAGTGCTGAGATTACAAGTGTGAGCTACCATGCACGACCCAAATATATATGTATATTATATACATATATATTTAGAAGGAGTCTCACTCTATCACCCAGGCTGGAGTGCAATGGCATGATTTTGGCTCACTGCAACCTCCGCCTGCCGAGTTCAAGTGATTCTCCTGCCTCAGCCTCCCAAGTAGCTGGAATTACAGGCATCTGCCACCACACCCAGCTAATTTTTTTTTTTTTTTTTTTTTTACAGATGAGGTTTTACCATGTTGGCCAGTCTGATCTTGAACTCCTAACCTCGTGATCCACCCTCTTTGGCCTCCCAAAGTGCTGGGATTACAGATGTGAGCCACCGTGCCTGGCCTTAATTTTTTTGTATTTTTGGTAGAGACAGGGTTTCACCATGTTGGCCAGGCTGGTCTCGAACTCCTGACCTCAGGTGATCCACCTGCCTCAGCCTCCCAAGGTGCTGTTGGTGTGAGCCACCTCCAAATATCTTAAATTGTCACAGACACAGTATTAAATGTGTTCTCTTTAGAGAACCACAGTGTCCTGACCACACTGAATGGCTCAAGAATTGGCATGTGACCCAATTCTGCCCAATGACAGTGAGTCCTGGGACTTTTGCTGGAATGCCTGGGACAGAGGTGCTTTCTCTCTGTTGGAGTCACTATGCCAGGAGGATGTCATCCTAGAGCTCATCCTGGAGATAAAACCATCACTGAACAAAGCAGAGACGATAGAATGGGAAAACTCGTCCTGCTGTCATCCTTTGGGCTTTGGGATCCAGGCTGGCCTGAACTTTTTGATTACCTGACCCCCTAATTGCCCTTTTTCTCAAGCTAATTTGAGCATGCACTCTGTCACTTGCAACCAAATGAGTCCTGACTGATAGAAAAAAGAGGGAGAAGGCTGGGCATGGTGGCTCATGCTCGTAACCCCAGCACTTTGGGAGGCCAGGTGGGCGGCTCACGAGGTCAGAAGTTCAAGATCAGCCTGTCCAATATGGTGAAATCCTGTTTCTACTAAAAAATACAAAAATTAGCCAGCTGTGGTGGCACGTGCCTGTAGTCCCGGATACTCGGGAGGCTGAGGTAGGAGGATCACTTGAACCAGGAAGGCGGAGGTTGCAGTGAGCCGAGATCGTGCCACTGCACTCCAGCCTGGGCAACAGAGTGAGATTCCACCTCAAAAAAAGGGGCGGGGGGAAAGACCCTAAAACTAAATGTGTGGCCCACTCTCGGAGACCCCTGGCACATGCCCGAAATGGATGTGGTGGCTGGTTCCCAACTCCTGCTGTTACCTGTTCCAGCAACTCCTGCTGCTTTGCAGCCGCCTCCAGCGCAGCCAGTTCTTTGAGCCGGGCCCGGAGGTGGGCAAGTTTGCCGCCTTTTGCCCCCTTGCCACCCATCTTTCCTGTCACAGCGAGGGTGGCGCTGAAGAGCTTCGGGGTGCCCACCCGGGGTGGAAGGATCAGCACGCTCTTCTCCTCCTTGGGCCTGTTGTTGTTTTTCAGCATGCGCCTGGAAGAAAGCATCATCCACTTACCTCACAGACGCGCTCAGAGGGAAAAGAAAGGCTCGCTGTGTCGTCCCCTTTAAGTTGGAGCTGTGTAGTGGTGGTGATTTTGGCTGATGATTGCAGAGAGCATTTTCTGGGCCAAGCATTGTGTTAAGTGCTTTATGCATTGCATCTCACTGAAGGATCAGAACAACTGTAATGAGGTGGGTCTTACTGTCTGTTGTACCTTAGAGATGAGGAAACTGATGCTCAGAGAGGTTGAGTAACTTGTCTGAAGTCACACAGCTAGGAAATTCTTCTCTCCCTTTTCTCTCTCTCTCTCTGTCTCTCTCTCTTTTAACAGCGTCTCACTCTGTCACCCAGGCTGGAGTGCAGTGGCATGATCATGGCTTACTGCAGCCTTGACCTCCAGGGCTCAAGCAATCCTCCCACTCAAGTAGCTGGGACTACAGGTGTGCACTACCACAACCGCAATTTTTAATCTTTTTGTGGAGACAGGATCTCACCATGTTGCCCAGGCTGGCCTCAAACTCCTGGGCTCAAGCTATCTGCCCACCTTGGCCTCCCAACGTGTTGAAATTACAGATGTAAGCCACCACGCCTGGCCTTTTTCTTTTTTCTTAACCAACTGTTTACCCTACTGTTTGGAAATCCTGAAGGACACTTTCACACAGGGAATTGGGAGTAGGATGCCCAGGTGGAAAAGGAACCAGAGCTCTTTCCTCCTTCTGCTTCACTGTCACTTCCCTGTCGTCACTGTCACAATTATCGGCATTTATTGAGTGTCTATATGTGCCAGCCCCTCTGCGCCATCCTTTACAGGCACCTTCCATGGCCCCTCTTATCCCTCAGGAGGAGTGGGATACGTGTCTTGCTTTTAGCCAATAGAATACAACAAGGGAATTCCACTAGTGGAATATGTCACACAGGTTTGTGATCTCTGTCTTGCAAGAGCACTCTCCTTTGCTGACTTTATTTAATTTTTATTTGATTTTTATTTTAAGTAATAGAGATGGGGTCTCCCTATGCTTTCTAGGCTGCTCTTGAACTGCTGGGCTCAAGCGATCCCCCTGCCATGGCCTCACAAAGTGCTGAGATTACAGGCAGGAGCCACAGTGCCTGGCCTCCCTTGATGACTTTGATGCAGGGAGCAGCCAGCTGTGTTGGAGAAGGCCCACATGGCAAGGACTTGAGGCCAGCCACTGGCCAACTGCTAGTGGGAACTGGGGCCCCAGTCCTACAACCCCAAGGAACTGAATTTCACCAACAACCATGTGATCCTAGAAGCGGGTCCTTCCCCATCCACGCTTGAGACGGCAGCCTGCTCTGGCCAACACCTTGATGACAATCTTGCAGAGGACCCAGCTAAGCCATGTCCAGACTTCTGACCCACAGAAACTGAGATCGCAAATGTATGTGATTTTAAACTGCTAAATTTGTGATAATACTCTTAGGCTAATACATAATCTCTCATTTAAGTCTCACAACAATCCCCATAAGTAGGTCTTATTATTCATCCTCATTTCCAAATGAGGGTATAGAAGTTCAGGGTGGGTGAGTAACTTTCCCAAGGCCACACAGCTAAGAAGCAGCAGAGCTAGAGTACAAACCCATACCTCTGACCCTGGTGCCCCAGATATTAATGATTACAAAGCAACATCACATCATTATCTTCCTGGACACTGACAACACCCCTGTGACATGGAAAGGGCTGAGATTATTGTACCTCTGACAGTTGGGGAAATTGGGACTCAGAGAAGGGGGAGTGACATTCCCAAGGCTACCAGGAAGTTGCAGAAGCAGAATTGCCACTACTCACATCTAATGGGGCTTATACTGCTCTATTTCTCTAGATAAGGGAAGATTTTCCATCGAAGAGAGCCCTGGCTTTTTACTAGGAATTTTTCACGCAACAAACATGTGGTGAGGGGTTTGTCTCAAGAACAAATGAATTCTGCCTGCAACCAGTGGGCCTAGGCAATGAATTGGCAAATCGATTCATCAGGGTTCCAGCAAAACTTGTTTGTTTAAAAATGAGGCCATTACTGGATGCTTATCTAATCAGAGGCAATGGGTTTAAATTGTGCATATTGATATTAATTGCCCAAGATTTGCATTTCTAGCTGGAGATCCCCCAGGAGAACACAAACATGCTAATTCACCAGACGCCTCTGACACGCCAGCTCGGCACTGTCCCCTGTGTTATTTGAGTCGGTAATTCACGAAGTGACAGCCCACAGGAAGGCTGGGGTGCTGTGAAAATAAACTATCTTTTTCTTTCTAACAAAAGAACTATTTATAGGACCTTTGCTGATTGCTAATGGCTGTGTGTTTAGAAACATTGAGCTGGCTTCTGGGGGCACTTCCAGATTAGGGAAATTTGTCCTCATTTTCTGATGATGTATGCTTCCCTATAACTGAGATTGAGCCATCAGCCTGGAGAAAATGACCTGCATAAGACCTCTTTATCCTCTTTCTTGGAGTGGTCAAGCTAGAGATCTGAGCACTTCTCTTCTTTAGGGACTCAGGTCCCCCATTTGCAAAGCAGGGAGCTTGGGCAGAATCCCATACGTGGCCCTTGCCAGCTCAGATGTCCCTGGGACTGTAGATCTCAGAGAGTGCATCTCCCCTGACAAGCAGAGCTCATTCCTGATCCTTTGCCTCTCTGGTCAAGTTGGCCTGTCCAGCAAACAACCACTCTGATGACTCATGGCCGGGCCCCCATCCCATGCCCCTCATGTTGCTGTGAGGACTATCAGCCCCACTCCTCTGACTGGCTGCCTCCCACCCACACCTCAGCCTTCTCAGTGTGGACACAGGTACACAGGCACCGTTCGGAATGGGGGTCTCTGCGTGGCTCTTGCGAGGGCCTTTGGGGTCCCATCTGATTTGCCAAACTCTTACCTAACCCACCCAGTGGGATGAGATAACAGCTAAAAGCATGGTTTTCCTGAGCTTTGCTCCTTCTGGTGGGGATGGGGGCAAGAAGAGAGGGTGGGGAGACCCGGTACCAGTTTTTAGACATAAGCAGTTGACTCTCATGATGTGCAGTAATTATGTCCTATAAGATCTCTGCAAACACTGAATTAGCAAATATGGAAACATTGTTCCTGGGGGAAATACAGGGTGAGATTCCTACAAGTCTCTCATCACAGCATGTATCAACCACCATACATAAACTTGGCCAGGCGTGGTGGCTCACGCATAGTCCCAGAACGCTGGGAGGCCAAGCCGGCAGATCTCTTGAGCCCAGGAATTCAAGGCTGCAGTGAGCTATGATCCTGACACTGCACTCCAGCCTGGGTAAAACAGCACAACCCTGTCTTTAAAAATAATAATAATAAGCTTGTCTTATATGTGTTTCCGTTTAAAGACATATTATTATTATTTTGAGACAGAGTCTCACTCTGTCACCCAGGTTGGAGTACAGTGGCTTGATCTCCGCTCACTGCAACCTCCGCCTCCCAGGCTAAAGTGATTCTCCTGCCTCAGCCTCCCAAGTAGCTAAGATTACAGGTGCCCACCACCATGCTAATTTTTGTAGTTTTAATACAGACAGGATTTCACCATGTTGACCAGGCTGGTCTCGGACTTCTAACCTCAGGTGATTCTCCCGCCTCAGCCTCCCAAAGTGCTGGGATTACAGGCATGAGCCACTGTGCCAGCTAAAGACATCTTATTCAATATAGACTGTTGCTTTATTAACATTGAGCACACAGCCAACAGCACTATAATTCATGCCCGAATGAAAGCTATCTAACACAGGTATTTTCTGTGTAAGGCACATGGTAGAATTCTTGTGCTTAGGAACACGAGACGGCACTTCAGCGCTGTGCTTGGGGGCCGTTTTAAACAGTGAAATCACCAACAAAAAGCACAAAAATGCAAAAAACGTGGCATTAAATGGACCATAAAAAGACACCTCTTTGCGGTACAAGAGCTGAAACCAGAAGGCAGAGCTGGTACTTCAGCGGGGAGTGCGTGCTTGGTGTGACTCTAGTATTCCGCTGCTCTGGGCGTGTTCTTGAATGACCATGAAAGCCTGTTAGTATTATTTTGGCATTATGAGTCCATTTCAGGGAGGAGGCAAATTTGCAAATATGGAGTCCAGGAATCACGAGGATCCACTCTACCTCCCTGTGCCGTGGGAAAGGAGGGGCTGGCACACAGCACTGCTGTGACGGGGAATGTGGGCGGATTCTGTGGGTGAGGTTCAGATAGACAAGGTTTTGGTCTCAGTCTCTTGCCCTCGTGATCCACCCACCTCGGCCTCCCAAAGCGCTGGGATTACAGGCGTGAGCCACCTTGCCCAGCCTAGACTGGGTTTTGAAAGGGCCCAGTGGATTCCTGGAGAGCAACCAGGTAAGGTGAGTTTTGGGGCAGCTTCCTTCCTTGGGGAGCTCAGTGTCTTGCGTGCGTGGTGCGTGGACATCAACACTACATCCTTTCACCTTGAAGCTGCCACAGGGTTCCTATGAAAACCTCAGGCTCTTCAAGTCACTCCTCTGTGTAAAACTCGCCATGGCTCCCATCTCCCTCTGAGATCTGACCCAATCTCTTCCCCTAGCCTCCTCTGATCCCATATCAAGCTATGCTAATTTGCCATTGTGCCACCCACACGCTAAGCCTGCTCCTCTTCAGGGCCTCTGCACATGCTGTTCCCTCTGCCCAGAATGCTGTTCCTAGCCGCCAGTCCCCCAGCCCACTCCTTCACTCTGTGCAGGTCTCCTTGAAATGCCACCTGCTCAGAGGAGCTTTCCCAACCAGCTAATCTCGGGCAACTTTCCATGACTTCCCCCCGCTCCAGTGGCTTTGCGCTTCCTCAGAGCCCGCATTGGACACAGCACATCATCGCTCATGTTTCCACTGGGGCTTCCCTGACTACAATGTGAGTTTTGTTTGGTACCTGCTGTGTCTCCAGCACCCAGCACTGTGTATCAATACATCACTGTGCTGTAGGAATGGATGCTGGTGAGTTTCCTCCCTTTCTTATGTGCACTCTCTGTGCAGTTTATTTATGGTGTCATTGTATAGCATGAAGGGGAAAAGAAGAATGTGGGATACAAGGCAAGGAGGAATACCTAGATATGTGGATTAAAAAGGTTTTAGCCAATTGAAAATTTTTAGGGTGAATTTGATGGATACAGAGGAACGATTACTTATTAGGGTGAATTTGATGGCCTACAGAGAAACAATTATGTATTTATTTTAGAGACACGGTCTTGGTTTGTCACCCCAGCTGGAGTGCAGTGACACGATCATAACTCAATGTAACCTTAAACTTCTGGGCTGAAGTGATCCTCCCACCTCAGCCTCCTAAAGTGCTGGGAACTGCACTCAACCTGAAGTGATCATTATTAACGTGCACTGGGCTCTCTCGTATGCCAGGCACCCCACTGGAGACACTTCTGCACACTATTTAATTTTTGCAGCAGCAGGCCAGGCATGGTGGCTCACGGCTATAATCCCAGCACTTTGGGAAACTGAGGTGGGTGGATCACCTGAGGTCAGGATATAAAATACAAAAATTAGCCAGATGTGGGGGCACATGACTATAGTCTCAGCTACTAGGGAAGTTGAGGCAGGAGACTCACTTGAATCCAGGAGGCGGAGGTTGCAGTGAGCTAGGATCATACCACTGCACTCCAGCCTGGGTGACAGAGCAAGACTCCATCTCAAAAATTAAAAAAAAAGTTTTCACAGCAGCAAAGTAGGGGTTATGACCTTTGTTTTACATAGGAGGCAATGGAGACCAGAAAAGTTAAACAACTTCCCAAAGTCACACAGCCAGCAGCTCACGTGAAAGGGATCTGAGCCCTGCCAGCCTCCCAGACCTACCGTGCGGTTTCTGCCACAGCACACTGCCTCTGTTGCTCAGTTGGAAACCTGATCGTAAGGGGTTGAAAACAAAAACTGGCTTTTCTAAAAAGAATGACCTGTTCCCCAAGAATGCAAAATACAGATGCGTAAGTTTTTCATTGCACCACTGTTTGTAATTACAAAATTTTGGAAATACCCTAAATGTTCACTTACAGGAATGTTCCTTGGAAAGGAATGAGGAAGCTGACTCTGCATTGACAGACAATGACTCCCAGGTTTTGTCGTCACGTGGAAACAAAGCTAAATACAACCAGAATCTATAGCGCGCCACATTAGAAAATGTTTGGGCTGGGCATGGTGGCTCATGCCAATAATCCCAGCAGTTTGGGAGGCAGAGGCGTGCTGATCACTTGAGGTCAGGAGTTTGAGACAAGCCTGGCCAACATGGCAAAACCCATCTTTACTAAAAATACAAAAATT